ATGTTGAAAGAAGTCTATTGTGACTCTTGCAACATGTGGTCGGGCATTATCTTGTTGGAAAGTTGGATCTGCCAGGGTGTCAAGATAGGGTAAAAGATGGGGTTCTAGAACTTCGTTGATATAACGCTGCGCGTTCATGTTACCTCTGATGAAGATTAAAGGTGACCTGGAACCATAAGCTATAGCACCCCAAACCATAACTCCAACGGTGTGATGAACATGTCTTTCAACAAAAAACTGTGGATTCCTCCTTTCACCACGTCGCCTTCTAACCCTGGCACGACCATCGTGCATGCCTAAACAAAATCGAGACTCGTCACTAAAGACAATACTGTTCCATTCCTGATCCCAGAGTGACCGTTGTCTGCACCACTCAAGGCGATTACGTCGGTGTTCTCGAGTTAAAGGGAGGACCCAGTGTGGCCGGTATGAAAACAAGCCAAAACTTCTCATTCGTCGGTAAACACTTCGCATGCCAATAGGTCTTCCGTGTTCTGCAAACCATTCATTTGCAATGGACCTGGTAGTGGAGAAACGGTCCCTTAAGGCCAATAATCTTAGGCGGCGATCTTCACGGTCTGTTGTTCTACGGCGGCGTCCAGTGCCCCTTGCTCTTTGCGTACGGCCTTCTCGAAGCCATGCCTGACAACACCTAACCACAGTGTCTACACTTCTTTGCACTCTAACTGCAATTGCCCGAAAAGAAACTCCAGCTTCCCGAAGTCCCACTATACGGCCCCTATCAAACTCACTAAGTTGACGAAATCGTACAGGTCTCCGTACTCTAGGCATCGTAACCGATCGTAAAGGATGTCAAGAACCAAAATCCGCCAACGTTGATTCTTTACTGCGGCTGAAATATTCATTTTTAGAGCGTTAGTGAGTTAAAAAAAAGCAGTATAAAATCCGGAATGTCCTACTGATAAGGCTGAAAATTCGTTCACTTCTTATTTACAGTAAGATAAATACATTCACCAACTTTTATTAAAATAAAACCATTTAAACTGGGTGTTCGGATTTATATGTCACTTAGTATATTTGAGTGACATGAATTTGTGAATCTTTGAATAAACGCCGAAGTCAACAAACGTCAGGTATCGCTATTTAACCACAGCCTGTCTAGTTAACTCCTAGATGGTCTTCTGGTTAAAATTAACTACGATTTTACTATAAACATGATATTAAAAAACGCTTTTTCGTGGGTAACTATAAGTTAAGACCAAGGTCGTACTTGCCTCCGACTGAAAAACCGGGCCTAAAAGAAGAAGGCTCAGCACCCAAAAAAACCTAAGATCATCAAATTAAAATCACTTCCAAATTTTTTTTGTTTGGATCAATATAGTGACACTAAGATAACAGTAGTAATTTGCATATTATGATGAACTAGGCATTTACTTTTAACCAAGAATCGTCTCAGATCACAATCACAGCCATTGCTGCTGTTGGATGTTTCTTTCACTTCCCAAACACGTGAATTGAGCCAGATTTTGCTTCTTTGGCTGATTTAAATTGTCCCAGTTTATTAACAATAACTGAGCGATTCGCATCGAAACACAAGGAGTATCTACTCTGATGGTGCACTTAAGTACAGCCGGTAAAATAAAATAAGAAAGGAACTAAATTGTTTTGCTAGGACCAGGTAAACTCGGTTTAATAGTTCATTCATTTCAAACATATTTGTGTTATCAATCTAAGTAAACGGTTTAATAAATCTAATTAAACGATTGAATTTTGTCTTGATTAAACTAATTTCATAGATCCGAGTAAACTGTTTCAGAAATCGGTGTTTAATTAAACAAATTAAATTTATTAGGTGTCACAAGGTAATTTTGGCGACAAAATCCGTCATGTAAACATATAGGATCTGTTCGCTGTAACCAGTTCGAGCAAATTTGTAAATTTTTTCCAAGATCTTCATCAATAACTTTTGTAAGATTTCCATTATCGTTCCCCTTTCTTACAATTTAGCGGAGCGCAATACATCCCGGCAACTTAAAGCGAATATCATCCAAACATCCTAGAGCACCCTAGGCAACTATCAATACGTGTATTTTTCTTGTCATGTGAGCATGGTTGCCTACAGCTCACCACTTAGAAAAGTATATTGAAAGATACCAATATTTGGTATGTCTCTAGACAAATGGTTCAGTTTGAAGGATAGTTTAAAGTCTATCTGGATCTCTAGAGTGGTTGAAGCCCGAGTATTATAAATGATCAATTTGATCAACCATTAATTTTCCTGTGTCTTCTTACAAACACACTTATCACTAGATGCAATCCACTGATGTTCTTTAAACAATCTTTAAGTATAATTGATACCAAAACTTTGAATTTGCGTACCTACATGTCCTGTTTGAAACAAAAGACTACACAAGATTTTAGAAATTTTCACATGTCCAGCCTGTCCAAAAAAGGACAGTCCTTATAACCAAAGACATGTAACTCTGCTTTTTGTTAACAGCAAGGTGATGAAAAAGTGCATAAATAGAGAGCTTCTCGAGTATGTCGAACATCACGGCTTGATTAGCCACAGGCAAGTTGCCGAAATCAGCGACTACCGGGGGACCTCCTAGGTTACGACACACAACTGTGGAGTAAACTTATCCAGTCTCATGGTTTGCATCATATGGTTGCTCTTCACGTCACGAATGCTTTCGATCAGCTGTTGCATGCTGCCCTTTTACGCAAATCCCTATACTATGGCCTCCCAGGCAAGCTTTACGGATGAAAGACTGCCTTCTTTTTCGACCGTAAGATCTCCATGGCGCCTCTACGTCCCACAATATCAACGCGGGTGTTCCTCAGGAGCGGTCTTGGACATTATTTCTGTTGCATATTTTGTGAAATCGAGTCCTCCTTGAACTAGGATGAACAAATCAGTCATGTTACCAAATCCTTAAAAAGAATACTTTATTTAATTCGCAATTTAAAACACTCAGTTTCACTAAGCCCCCTTTGATCAGTTACCATGCGTACTTCCATAACACAATAACAGACGTCCTTCTGGCATAGGGAAGATGTATTCGGTATACAGGGTGTACACGTTATGATAGTCATTATTTAAATGGGTGATAGAGGGGTTAAAAGAATAAAAAAGTTTCATATAACATGGGGCTCCAATACGGCATTTTTTGAGAAAAGCGACTTTAAAGTAAAATTAAATCTGACAACGACGCAATGCCAGACGCAAATTACGACAGAACGCAGTAAAGACTCCAAAGATGGAGTTTGTTGTTTTTGGCTCTTAGGTATTATTTCATTATTTGATAATGTAATCGTAAAATGCAAACAATTAAAAAAAGGATTAACCACTAACTATCTCAGCGCTTCACCTGGTGTGTGAAAGTTTATTGAACGTATTGAAAAAATCAACTTATAAATAGGGAACACAATTTTGATACATATACTAAGTGACATATAAATCCGAACACCCAGTTTAAATGGTTTTATTTTAATAAAAGTTGGTGAATGTATTCATCTTACTGTGAATAACAAGTGAAAAAATGTTCAGCCTTATCAGTTGGACATTTCGGTTTTTATACTGCTTTTTTTTAATTCACTAACGCTCTAAAAATGAATATTTTAGCCGCAGTAAAGAATCAACGTTGGCGGATTTTGGTTCTTGACCTCCTTTACGATCGGTTAAGATGCCTAGAGTACGGAGACCTGTACGATTTCGTCAACTTAGTGAGTTTGATAGGGGCCGTATAGTGGGACTTCGGGAAGCTGGACTTTCTTTTCGGGCAATTGCAGTTAAAGTGCAAAGAAGTGTAGACACAGGTGTTGTCAGGCATGGCTTCGAGAAGGCCGTACGCAAAGAGCAAGGGGCACTGGATGCCGCCGTAGAACAACAGACCGTGAAGATCGCCGCCTAAGATTATTGGCCTTAAGGGACCGTTTCTCCACTATCAGGTACATTGCAAATGAATGGTTTGCAGAACACGGAAGACCTATTGGTTCCAGGTCACCTTTAATGGCAGATCCAACTTTCCAACAAGATAATGCCCGACCACATGTTGCAAGAGTCACAATAGACTTCTTTCAACATAATGATGTCGCATTGTTACCATGGCCACCAAGATCTCCCGACTTATCCCCAATTGAGCACGTGTGGGATATGATGGGTAGGAGATTGCTCAATTTGCAACGTCCTCCTCAGACTCTAGAAGCACTTCGAGAGGGTTGGTGGTTGCCTGGAATGAGATACCACAGGAGGACATTGACCACCTGATCAGAAGCATGCCTAGGCGCGTTGGAGGATGCGTAGCACATCAGGGTGCATCCACACATTATTAAAGGTCAAAGGGCTTTAAAGCAGTGCAATCATTTTGAAATTTTTATCATTTACTTATTATGCTTCATTAAGTACTTATACAAAATTTTATTAAAATAAAACCATTTAAACTGGGTGTTCGGATTTATATGTCACTTAGTATATTTGGGCATATATCGTTCACAGGATGAAAATGGGATGAAGCAAGTTTTCTTGTAATTTACGGTTAAAAGTCTAGAGTTGAACCATTTTGATGACCTTGCAAAGTTCTGTTTCTGTTAGAGTTTTTAGGTTTTCCCAGGTTTGAGAACTGTATATGATGACAGTGTCGTCAGCAAAACCTATAATTTTTCCTCGGTGTTCTAGTAAATATAGTTCGTTAACGTAGATGTTAAATAATATCAGTGCCAATACAGTGCCTTATGGTACTCCATACTTCGCTGTTCTACAATCCTAATATGATTAATCTTCACATTGTGGGTGCTATTTGATAGGTACGATTTCATTAACGAGTATGCAGTGGCACGAAAGCCTACTCTTTCTAAGCCGCTATATTTCATGCTATAATTTCTTTTTTTCTTTTGCTGCGGACTAAGAAGAATTATTTTCCGCTCAATCTCCTCACTCTGTACAAATAACGGCTATCTTCGAGCACTGCTCACGAGTTTGGGGCTCTCGGTAAGTAGAAAATAAAAGATCTTGTTCAATTATAGTAATTTTAATAGTTGTATGAACATTTTTACATGCATGGAATATACCAAAATACTTTTGGAATCAGGGAACAGAGATAAACATTCGACCGAAAAAAAAAATTGATGTAAATAGCGAAAATTTCTCTAACACTAACTTGATCTATGAGGAAGAAACTGTAAACCATACCTTTGTTACAAAAATGAAAGGACAAGGTACCCACCATATATGTTATTACAAAATACGAGTGCGACATTTTTGCTGGAAAAGATCTTATAAGTCTGTAGTATGCTTATGGAAAAAGAAATAAATAACTTATTATAATTAATCAACAAAAAAAACAGAACATTTGTACATAGTACATACTAACTAATAACTGTATTATACTATTGCTTGAACATTTTGTAACAAAATAACTTCCTGGTTCAAAAATAATTTGTCTTAAGCACCTCCACCACGCATAATAATCTTTGTCAATCTTGAATATGAAAAATATATGTGATGTAATATGGGTCAGTATTTAAAATGTTACTTCATATTTATAGTTGCATATTTATTACAGATCATAAGTATTAAAAAAAGGAGGCTGACTTTTTGGAAGATGTTGCTCTTTGCAGGCTTGCTAATATAGTACAATGATGCTTAAGACAAATATTTTTGCAGTAATATAGATACCTGTTCCTCTTTATGCAAAACCGATTGATGCCATTACAATGAAAAAATGAACAAAAAGACCTCAAAAAATAAATAAATCATCTTTTATATACAGAAAGGCAAGTGTGGTGATGACCACAACAAAAATTTACAAGAAATCTTTACAGAAATTTACACAGTTGTCAAGTAGGTACCTGAACGTATGTAGTTATATACAGAGAATAAACATACAAAAATATTTTTCACATGAAAAATATGACAATGCATTTTCAACATTTGAAATTAATACTGATCTTTCATAAATTGCAAGCAGATATTTGACAGTCAAGAAAGAATCTACCATGTTCTCAAGCTGTTTATGTGGTCAAAAATCTAATGGGCAATAACATCTCGCTAAGCACCAGTCATGGGCGCCGAGATAACAAGATTTCCATCTCGAGAGGGGTCTTGAGAACGCGAGTGAGTCTGGGAATACTAAAATTTCATAAAACAAAATGATGGATTTTAGTCGAATGTTTCAAAATTGAAGTTCTTACTCTGCGGGCTCAAATGCCTACATATGAAGTTTCTTTAGATTTGTCGTGACAGTGTAAGTAACACTGGGTGTAAATAAATAAAGATGGCGGATTTCAAACGTAAACTTCAACTTTCAGATTTCTATTTCACTGGTTACAGCCCAAACAGCTTGGTGGACTTCTTCGAAAATTGAGGTGTCCTGAGATTCCTCGAACACTTTACAGTTTTCAAAAATGTACATGTTACTTGCTTTATGGGACTGACTGTGGACACGTCCACAATTCAGATCTAGCAAGATAATTTTCACGAATGTTTTTTTAAAACCAAAAAATACCACGCCACTTGTTGCTTAAGAAACTGGTACCATATTAGGTATATTTTACTTCTCAAGCGGAAACCATGGGGGGCATATGCTTCCCTTACCCCCTAATGAGCGCCCATGACGGCAGCGTTTCTAATATTTTGAACTTTGTGCCTATATAGATTGATTCGGGACTTTTTAGACATTTTTAACAGCGTTTTTGAATGTTGGTTTGGGAAATAATACAAAATATGAGTTTCAAAGAATATCGACTAAATTCTGACCTTTCTTGACTGCGATTTGGAAAAAACTCTCTTTGCTGTTTTGAAGCACGAAAAAATACATAGGCTTAAAGTTATGTAGGTATTTGAAGACATAAGCACCATAATTTATGTATGTATAAATATTAGCAATAATTTTCGTGGTATATTCACGTTAAATTACATGCAATATGTGTGATTCAAGAACACAAATAGTTACTACAAATAGATTTTTTGTCGACAACTGTAAAAAATATGTATAAAAATAGTTATAGGAATTAGCCACGCACTCTGTAGCTAGTTTTGGTTACATTTATACACGATACGTATAGTCAAAAATTGTGGGAAATTTAGGTTTGAAAATAGAGAGTTTTGGCATTCACAAATACCACATACCTAAACGTTAATGAAGACCTCAAGTATCATGATGGTAAATTATAATTGTCTTCTTATATCATGCCTTAGTCATTGTACATCTGTCATTTTTCTATACGACAAACAATGCAAGGTTGTGTTTTCCTATGCTTAGTGAAGTGTAAATTGTATCTATGTATATGTCATGATCTATCCTACTTCATTTTTAAATGATCAAATGGAACCAATAAAGTATCTCTCTATCCATGACTTATCTGTCAACATCAAAGCTTACGTATGCGCTATTCTCGGTTACTAAAACTCTATAATAACATATGTCGATAAAAACAAAAACGTTGCAAAATTATACAGGGTGATTCAGAAAATCATAAGGTAGAAAAGCTCCTCCAAATCAAAAAAAATGTATTGACTTAAAATTTCGTATATGTAGTACTAACTATTTACTAATCTCTACGTCACGGACTTTTTTGAAACATGTACTGCATTAAAGAAAAATGTATTCAACCTCACATGAAACATCTCTATTGAGATTTTTTTTTCAAAGAAAAATTGCTTTGAATGTTTAAGATAAAATCAGTGTAAAGGACTTCGACCCACTCTTCACATCAATGCACTGTAAAATACAGTACTCGGTATCTTGGTGAGGGGACATTTTGGAGTCTTTGGGGAAACTTTTTTGTTATTTTTGGATATGCAGTGTGCGCAAATCAAAAGTTCGCTTCTCGTTGGCATATTAAACAAGACTAAAAAAAGTACATTAAAAAACTAAGCTCAAAATACTCTTCGGATTCGTGTGGGCGGAGGGGATAGATTTGAGTTTGTATTTAGACACTTGATAACTTTAATAATAGTAATTTTTAACCGCGCTGTCAGCAATTGGATGTCACTCTTTAGGGTCTTTCTGAAAAAGAACCGCTTTATCTCGAAATCGGTCAACGTTAGAGCCCAGGTGGCATACAGAACTTAAAAAAAAATCCTTAGCTAATCAACGAGCTCGGCGATCTTTCGAAATAGATGATTGGAAATTTCTAATATTGTTGTTTTTCTGAACCACCTTGTATATTATATAGCAGTATGCTACCTAACTTGAAACGTTCCCATACACACCGGTGCAAGGTTTTTCCTTGATGAAATTCAGCGTACTGAAGTCTATAAGAATCCAAAAGGTTTATATCTATTACGTATCGTGTATTAAATAAATTGTAGCTTATATTTTTGCATTGAGGTACTACTGTAGGATATTCATAGTAACTAGTTTGTGCCAATACTGATGAAATACATGGAAACAGGTATATGCAAAGGTGATTGAAATAATTACATCAAAATGAAAGGCAAAGTACGTAATATGGAAACAGCATATTATACTTATGGCTCTTTCCTAAATTTGAACAGCTCTAACAGCATTTTATATCCGCACACTCAAGTTACACAGAGATTTGTGTAATCCGTGAGTATATATTGCTTGTTCACAATCAGTCTAAAAATGTAAATTTAAATTTCGGATAAATAATCCGTAAATTATTCCATCTTTGTAACTATCAATAAATACTAATAAATTAAAGTATATCTCAACAGTAGCAATGAGTATCTTTAGAAAAATTATATATGTGACATGACTTTTTCTTCAGTACTATGCGCTACAGCCTAGGAGTTATCAGTCCAATTTGAGATTCTCCATAAGTATTCATTTTTGAATTCTCCAAAAACCTTATATCACAAAGCTTTGCTTTCAAGACGCTCAATTCAAGCACTGGAGAGCGGTTATAAAGAACCTACCACTTTTTGAAAGATAGTTTCTCAACTACTATCAAGTGTGATGTGTTTTTTTTTCTCCCGGATGTAGCGCAAAAATATATCAAACCATCAATAAATAAATATTAAAAACTTAACAACATAGCCTAAACGTACGAGTGTTGTTGGGGATTCTGTAGAAAGGGTATTAAACTATAGGATACTGATGTCACTGAGGAAGCAAAATTTCTTTTTTGGTATGATTTTGGAATTTGATGGGTTATTCTTATTTTTCAACCTCCAGTATCTATTTCTTTCCCCTTTCTTTGAGCCCTGAAATGCCCCAAAGTGCAAGGCCAACTTCAAGGTCAAAAGTGAATGCCTATAATATTTTTGAGTCCAGTAACATGGACCTCGAAGTCTTTTGGGTTCAAATATGGACCTCGTAAATGACAAACGTGATGCATTCCACATTCCAGTATGACATTTGGCACCTTTAGGCCCGTATCGTCAGTCGACCCTACAATTGTAGGGCGCCTTTATGGCCTCCTTGATTGTCATAGTTATCTACTTCTCCGTGTCAGCGCTCTATTTTGAAGTTATGTCACAAACATCTATTTGCATCAAATTGTGCTTGCTTTTGAGTTATATCATGTTTTATCAGCCTGAAATTTCCTACAATTTAAAAGTAAAACATATCTTCACAATAGGAGAGCGCTGACGCTGACACGGGACAAGTGTAATCCAGAAATTTTTGAAGGAGAGAAAGGAGTATGACAATCAAGGAGGCCATAAACGCGCCCTACAATTGTAGGGACGACTGACGATACGGACCTTAGTCTTATCTCGCAAGGACATTCCAAAATCAGATCAACATCATTCAAGGTCGTACTTGAATGTAACGTTAACTGGTTTCTAGGGTCACCTATAAGAAAATGACATGAAAATCAACTTCAGGGTTATTTCGTGCGCATGATACCAACTGCTTTCCGCCTTGAAATAACCTTCAATGATCAGGCTTATTCAGGCCAAGTGTTATATCTAAAACAGTACATTTTTGGGCTGTTTGCCTATGAGCTCATATTCGAAAAATCAGACTGACCTTGAATGATCTGGAAGATCAATGGAATTTTCACCTCCAAATGGGCACGGATGAGATCATCACTTCCATTAATTGATTTAGTTGTTTCTCAGCTTTTTGAATTCCTTATATTATTTTGGTTCTGTTACATCTGATCTTCAAATGACCTCCAAAGGTAAGACCTAATATTAATTTCTAGTGTTGCCTAGATATTGGAAAAAATACGAGCTTCATACGATGTTTAAGGTCAAATACAAGGTCATCAATGGAAAGGCAGAAATATGCTTCTATTTGGAAAAAGACTTGACCTTGAATGATTTGAAAAACCAACTACATTTTGTAAGGTCATCACCAAATAGTTATATTTGAAGATCTTGGTCAATCTGTATAGCCTTTTTGCTTCGTTTTCGACACGTTTAACGAACTACGCTTTCCACTATCAACCCCAAAAACACCCTTTAACCTAATGAGCAGGAGGAGGAAAGAACATCGCGCAACCACTCTTCAAAGTCATTTAAGTGCACTCGATGATGTGTGGCTGCGAGGACTCGATCACAGTGGGCCTTTGGGGGGTCGTATCCTTGGGGGCCCGCCCCTGTTGCCCCCCGCCCCCGGGTATCAACGCCTGCAATGGCCTCGACAGCCCAGGGTGGAGCACCGAGTGCTGATGTACTTCGAACTGGTGGTGGTCTTTGGGCTCCAGCTGTTGCGTTGGCGACTGATCTGCGGGGTGATGGGGCGGTTGCAGGTGCTGTGGGGGGGACTGGGACGCCGTAGGGTCCTTCAGGTCCATCATACCTGCAACAAACAAAAATATATTCAATTGAATTCCAAAAACTTCATGATTCACACAACCAAGAGACAATAAAAACTCATTTTATAGATCTATGTACAGGGTGTCTGAGAAGTTCCGGAACTCCACTATAATTACCCACCTTGGATTTGACCTTGACCATGCCTTTCAACGCCATTTGAAGTTCTAGTCGATTTTTCAAAATGGAACACCCATTTTTGAGACCGTTTATGAAAAGAGCTGAAAATCGTACTTTCAAATATGGTCTTCACCATTTTCAAATTTTGACCTTAGGAGGTCATGATCAAGGTCAAATCCAGGTACGGTGATATAACTTGGAAACCCGGAAGTCGTATAGGGAACAGTTTACATGAATTTCCACAGATACCCAATAGTGACCTTGAACCTGATTACCTTCAATGTCATATGGATGTCAAGTCGATTTTTATGGCCAGTGGACAGTCCTGGATGAACTGTGAAGTCACTCTACCTGGAGATTGCACAGTTTTCAGACTTATCAGGAAAACAAGGTAAGCTTGTGTTTGACCTCGATAGTCAAGTCCAAGGTCTAGTACCAAAAAGTGGGCAAACCTAAAATTTCTGTGGTCAAAGACATAGGGTCCCTATTGAAAAAGCTGACCTTCAAATGAGCTTGTAGGTCAGATCCAAGGTCGCCACGGGATATCCGGGAGAAATATTGGAAATAATGTCTGGTTAGTTTTCCTTGACCTTGAAGGTTGATTGTCAATTGTTTAGTTATTTAGCGAAATCTGAAAAAATAGCCATTTTTGAGGATATTTATATGAATTTTAATTCAAAAAAATTTTACTGTCATCGATTTTAAATTGATCTGAAAAAAATTCTGAAAGATCTTTCTATTTATACAGGGTATCACAAAACGTGATATGTATCTTTTTCCGTAATGCGGGTGCTTCATTTGAAGTTTTTAAGAAAAGGTATATTTTGCATTACTGTATATATAATGGGTGATTTTTTTGCTAGTATCTTTTTGGCGACACTGTTTTTGACAGATGACGCGTGAATCGTGTCTCGTGTCATTGTCAAACTTGTTCAGTTTGGTCTATAATTTAACCATGAATCGACTTACGAACGAACAACGCTTGCAAATTATTGAATTTTACTATCAAAATGCATGCTCGGTTAAGAGAGTGCATCGAGCACTGCTTCCAATTTATGGGCAATTTGGTCGTCCTACTGAGGGAGCTATTCGGAAGCTTGCGACTAAATTTCGAACCCAGTAGAGTGAGGACTGAAGAAAATATTGCGGCTGTATCCGCCAGTGTTAGTGATGACCGTGAAATGTCGATTCGCCTCCGTTCGCAGCAATTGGGCCTCTGTTACTCGACTACGAGGAAAATTTTGCGACAGGATTTGGGTGTAAAACGTTATAAGATACAGCTGGTGCAAGAATTGAAGCCACAACGTTTCCCGTTTGGTGAATGGGCGCTGGCAAAGTTGGAGGAAGATCCACATTTTTATCGAAAAATTGTGTTCAGCGACGAAGCTCATTTCTGGTTGAATGGGTACGTTAACAAGCAAAATTCCCACATCTGGAGTGAAGACCAGCCGGAAGCATTGCAAGATCTACCAATGCACTGTTGTGGTGTGGTTTATGGGCCGGTGGCATTATCGGGCCGTACTTCTTCAAAGACGACAATGGCCGGAACGTAACTGTGAATGGCAAGCGCTACCGTGCGATGATAACAAACTTTTTTTTGCCCAAAATGGAAGAGCTGGACTTGGCTGACATGTGGTTTCAACAAGACGGTGCCACATGCCACACCGCACACGAAACAATGGCCCTATTGAGACGCGAGTTCGGTGAACAGTTTATCTCACGTTTGGGGCCCGTCAATTGGCCGCCTAGATCGTGTGATTTAACGCCGTTGGACTATTTCTTGTGGGCTCATGTTAAGGCTAATGTCTACAGGGATAAACCAGCAACGATTGACGCACTGGAAGCCAATATTGAAGCATTTATTCGTGAGATACCGTCCGATATGTTGGAGAGAGTGTGCCAAAATTGGACCTTGCGCATGGGCCATCTAAAGCTGAGCCGCGGCCAACATTTACATGAAATAATCTTTAAACATTAAATTATATCGACCGTTCTATCGACTCAAATAAAGATTTAATCGTTTCTTCAAATTTTTTGTTTTTTTTGAAAATCAAATCCTATACCTCTTAAAAAATCACCCGTTAGAAAGGAATTTGAGCAATTTTTCCAGATCAGCTTAAAATGTTTGATAATAAAAATTTTTCCAACTAAGATTTACCCAAATATCTTCAAAAATGGCAGAGCTATGAGTCGTCAAAGCTGGGCAATTTTTCAGATGATTGGCCAAATATTTAAGCACTTGACAATCAAAACTGTATGTTATATGATATCAGACTTCATGTTTTTGGCAGCTATATCCAAATATGCAATAAAACACCGGGTATTCTATTTAAGGAAGCACAAGCTTGCTAGGGCACGAACTTATGGAACACCATGTATTTTTAAAATAAGCACTATACTACAACTATTTAAAACTGTAATGACTCATACGTGTGATCAACACGTGATCAGAGCTCGATCCCGGCTTCCTTCCAGTACAGCCGTATAGCGTACGACATATGTCGTTTCTGTGGCTTTGCGGTGGTCAACAGCACAGACAGAGATGGAAATAATGGCTGATTGTTCTCCGCCGGTAGAACCAATGAAATCAAAGACGCGCCTCGACCGGCAGACTCATAGGCGTCGGCAACGCATTGGAACGTGTTTCGTTGAGCGATCGCATATTGTGTGTTTTTATAAGAATTGTTGTGTGATTGTTATTGTTGTGGTTTCTGTGGTTACTGTTTTGGTTATACTTAACCATGGAGAGTACAAATGGCACGAGTGGAAGTACTGAAAGCCAGGGAACAAGTAGACGGCTTCGTAAAGCACTGAAGAGGGACGCGAAAGAAATCGTGCTCAACGTGTTCAATTATCTGAACAGAACCATGTCGCAGGGAGATGCACTTGCGCGTTGTGAAAGTATGACAGGCGTTCCAGAGTGGACCATTCGCAGGGTGGTGCATGAAAAGAAGAAAACTGGAGCTACTACTGATCCAAAGTTTAATTTGAAGGGACGAAAGGCCGTTAAATTGGATGACGATAGCAAAATGGCGAACCGTACATTCATTCTTCTTTAGGAATGAGATACCAACCCTCAAGGCTGTACATGCAGCGATCAAGGAAAATGAAATTATACCCCAAATGAGCGTCGAGGTAATGAGGAAATCCCTGCACAAAATTAATTTTCGTTACGAAACGCGTAATCGGAAGTCAGTATTGATAGAGAGACCTGAAATAGTCGCCTGGCGTCGAAAATACCTACGCGAAATCATTGAATATAGGCGACAAAGCATAAAAATCTGTTATTTGGACGAGACATGGGTAAATGCAGGTCACACAGTTAAAAAAACCTGGATAGACAAAAACGTAGTGAGTAACCGACAAGCAAGCATTGAAGGTTTGTCAACAGGTCTTCGTGGACCGTCAGGAAAAGGTCAAAGATTGATCATAACTCATATTGGTAGCGATAGTGGCTTTTTAGAAGAGTGTGACTTGATTTTCGTCTCTAAGAAAGGAGGTGATTACCATATCGAAATGAATGCCAGCTGCTTCGAGAGCTGGTTCCAAGGGGTGCTTCAGCGAGTTGAGCCCAACTCTGTGATCGTCATGGATAATGCTTCCTACCATAGTCGTCGAGCCGAACGTGTACCGACTATGGGATCTCGAAAAAGTGACATGCAGCAATGGTTGCGCGAAAAAGGAATCCCGTTTGACGATGCATGTGTGAAAGCGGAATTGTATGAAAAAATTAAACAACACAAACCTGCGAACATTAGTTACGTGACTGATGAGATGGCCCGTCAATGTGGTGTCACCGTGCTGCGGTTACCGCCCTACCACTGTGAACTGAACCCAATAGAGCTCATCTGGGCTGAAGTGAAGGGTTATATTGCGCGCCATAACACAACCTTCAAATTACCAGACGTTAAGGTTTTACTTGAGACTTCCATACAGCTAGTAACGCCCGAAGCTTGGCAGAATGCTATCCGTCATGTTGTGAAGGAAGAAACAAAAATGTGGCAGCTTGACCACCACATCGACACCATCATAGAGCCAGTTATAGTCAATTTCAACGAGGAAAGCGATAGCGACAGTTTATTACTGTCAGATGTAAGTGGAAGCAACGATGAATAAAGGTAGTTCCCAAATTTTTGACTTACAATATGTTTCAAACCACTCTTTATTAAGCACAAATCTAGTTCACCCATGTTAAACATTCATACCCCGCCTATGAACAGCCGACTACTGGTAGTTAAGTGATGTTCACGTGAACATCGATGAGTCATTACAGTTTTAGATAGTTATAGTATAATACATATCAAGGTTGACACGGAAACAGATTTTTCATAACGTTTCCTTTTTGCTCATAAAACTACTTTCCATTTTCTTGAGCAGAGATATTTCTTCAACTTACCAAAGTTCTCCCCGGTGACAGTATACTCATAGTAGCAATTAGGCGACCCCTCTCCACTCAGCTCTTCGTCAATGTTGTTCGGCTTGCAACTGGTCGTCTTCCAATGCGTGCGCAAGCCTGAAGCGCTGATGTAGTTCTTTCCGCACTCTTGGCAGATGTACGGCCTCTCGTTCGTGTGAAGACGCTTATGCAACTTCAAGTGCACGAACTGAGTGAACTTCGCGGGGCAAAAATCGCACGCGTACGGTTTTTGACCGCTGTGGAGCCGCAAGTGGGTTTTGAGGTTCGAAGTGGACGAGAAACGCTTCTTGCAGATACCTGAAAAGTTATGAGATGTTATTTAAGATATAAGAACGATGATAGTTAGATTGAGCGTCGCAAGTTACCTACTTGTACCTAGTATCAATCGCATGTGGTAATCGATAGCGAAAATGGATTTAATCAAAGCAAAGTCATACATTCTGCAATTTTTGTCATAAATTTAATAAACCTTTCATACTTACCACACTCGTGAGGCCTCTCTCCGGTATGCACCAAATGGTGCTTCTGAAGATGTGCCAGTTGAGTGAACGATTTTGTGCAGACGTTGCATTTGAAGGGTCTTTCGCCACTGTGCGTCCTTAGATGAACCTTCAAATTGGACAATTGGCCAAAGGTCTTGCAACACACGTTACATTCATAGTGCATCTTGCCGTCTTTTTTCTTCAAGGGGTAGGGAAGGCTTCTGTAACCTCTAGAGGGACCTGCAAAAATGAACAGACAAATTAATATAATAATAATAAGTTTATTCACGTATATACATATACTAAGTGACTTATAAATCCGAACACCCAGTTTAAATGGTTATATTTCAATAAAATTTTTCATAAGTATTTAATGAAGCATAATAAGTAAATGATAAAAATTTCAAAATGATTGCACTGCTTTAAAGCCCTTTGACCTTTAATAATGTGTGGATGCATCCTGATGTGCTAAGCATTCTCCAACGCGCCTAGGCATGCTTCTGATCAGGTGGTCAATGTCCTCCTGTGGTATCTCATTCCACGCAACCACCAACTCCTCTCGAAGTGATTCTAGAGTCTGAGGAGGACGTTGCAAATTGAGCAATCTCCTACCCATCATATCCCACACGTGCTCAATTGGGGATAAGTCGGGAGATCTTGGTGGACATGGTAACAATGTGACATCATTATGTTGAAAGAAGTCTATTGTGACTCTTGCAACATGTGGTCGGGCATTATCTTGTTGGAAAGTTGGATCTGCCAGGGTGTCAAGATAGGGTAAAAGATGGGGTTCTAGAACTTGGTGGATATAACGCTGCGCGTTCATGTTACCTCTGATGAAGATTAAAGGTGTCCTGGAACCATAAGCTATAGCACCCCAAACCATAACTCCAACAGTGTGATGAACATGTCTTTCAACAAAAAACTGTGGATTCCTCCTTTCACCACGTCGCCTTCTAACCCTGGCACGACCATCGTGCATGCCTAAATAAAATCGAGACTCGTCACTAAAGACAATACTGTTCCATTCCTGATCCCAGAGTGACCGTTGTCTGCACCACTCAAGGCGATTACGTCGGTGTTCTCGAGTTAAAGGGAGGACCCAGTGTGGCCGGTATGAAAACAAGCCAAACCTTCTCATTCGTCGGTAAACCATGCCAATAGGACTTCCGTGTTCTGCAAACCATTCATTTGCAATGGACCTGGTAGTGGAGAAACGGTCCCTCAAGGCCAATAATCTTAGGCGGCGATCTTCACGGTCTGTTGTTCTACGGCGGCGTCCAGTGCCCCTTGCTCTTTGCGTACGGCCTTCTCGAAGCCATGCCTGACAACACCTAACCACAGTGTTTACACTTCTTTGCACTCTAACTGAAATTGCCCGAAAAGAAAGTCCAGCTTCCCGAAGTCCCACTATACGGCCCCTATCAAACTCACTAAGTTGACGAAATCGTACAGGTCTCCGTACTCTAGGCATCGTAACCGATCGTAAAGGATGTCAAGAACCAAAATCCGCCAACGTTGATTCTTTACTGCGGCTGAAATATTCATTTTTAGAGCGTTAGTGAATTAAAAAAAAGCAGTATAAAAACCGGAATGTCCAACTGATAAGGCTGAAAATTTTTTCACTTGTTATTTACAGTAAGATAAATACATTCACCGACTTTTATTAAAATAAAACCATTTAAACTGGGTGTTCGGATTTATATGTCACTTAGTATATAAATATATCCTTAAAAATCCATATCAGAGAATCTTCATCCGCGTGCAAATTGTCCTCAATGTCACGCTGACTCTTTATTTAATTCTAAAAACTGTAATAATAGTGAAACTGATCACTCATCCTCATTATAGTTTGTAGGATTTCTAGAGCACAGTCCTTTTCCGTAGTTCATGTCACGAAATACTCTTTACCTAACGCTGAACGCAAAATACTCACTGTAACTAAACTGTTATTTATTTGAAGTAACTACGTACTTGTCAATAGCAAACTAGCATTACTCACCTCCATTGGGACTAGTAGGGTTACTGGAGCACAGATTCATGTCATATTTCATGTCAGGACTCTTGGAACTCGGCGACAGCCTGCCATTGGACACTTGCAACGGTGGGAGGGGGGTTAAAAGATGATGGGAGAGATTCCCGTTGATGATGTGTCCGGTGGGCACGATGAGGTTCGAATTACCGTTATGATGGTTGCCGTTGAAGTTCATTGTGGGAGGTGAGTATGTGTGGGTGGGGGAAGAAGTGATCGTGCTATGGACAATCCCTGTAGGAGAGGGGTAGATGTTATAGTAGTTGGTCTGTTGGATGTTAGTGGTGTGGTAGCCTTCATTGCTGTTGTGCGAGATGTAGACGTTGGAATGCACCTAGAACATTGATTAATTAGATAAAGACGGCTCCGAAGAAAAATAAATAGAAAATTATAAAGTTGTAGAGTAATGAACTTACCGGACTCGTGGGCAGACTTTTCTGAATCAAGGGGGGACTGGGCGGCAGCATGTTCTGCACGTGCGCGTTAGAGCTACTATCCGGACTGCATGGTACTGTCCCGTACCGATGGCTTTTCTTGTAGGAATAGGCCATCTCCGTAGGTGAACTTGGAGGGGGCGTGGCATTGGATTGTTGCCTCTGATGTTGTTGGCTGTTGCTGTCGTTGTTGTTGGTGTCGATCCTGTTGCGAAGCAGGATGTTTTCTAGGATGCTTGATGCTGGAGGGGAGTACCTGCAAGAGCGATGGATTGGATATTGAAGACAAGGCGCAGAAAACTCTTCATGGCAATTCAAGATATAGCAATCTCTTTATCTAGATCCAAAGACTTCCTAGGTAATTTAAAAATGTCTCATTGGAGAAGATCTTTTGTTCCAATAAGTGTTTTTAGAAAGATCCAGGGTGACTTCAAACTCACCTTGAGATTACATTGGTGGTCTTCACTTCCGGTTCATAGAACGGCTTGGTATTAGGAACTTCATGGGGAGGAGAATCCATCACAATAACCGTTGCTGGCGGAGTGACGATTCGGGATGTTAGAGTTGTTACTTCAGGTACTGTAGTTTCCAAGACCATCTCTTTTTCAGCCTCGTGATCTTCCTCTCCTTTAGCTGCTGCCTTGTAGTGGTACGCCTTCGTTATCTTTATCTTCACCTACGGATTATGGTTTTTATGTCTCAATTTGACCATTTTTTTCAAATAACAGCGTAGCTGCCTCTGCCATCGGCTACTATATTGTGAAGTGAAGTGAAGGCGTGAACAAAAAGCGCATATATGATGGCGCACCTCCTTCATATTTTCAATAGTTATATGCCGTGCGTTTTAAAGTAATGGTGAATGAGCCACCCAGCAATCAATATAGCCCGGACAAATTTTCGTTCACCCATGATGGAGAAATATACTAAGTGACATATAAATCCGAACACCCAGTTTAAATGGTTTTATTTTAATAAAAGTTGGTGAATGTATTTATCTTACTGTAAATAACAAGTGAAAAAATGTTCAGCCTTATTGGACATTCCAGTTTTTATACTGCTTTTTTTAATTCACTAACGCTCTAAAAATGAATATTTAAGCCGCAGTAAAGAATCAACGTTGGCGGATTTTGGTTCTTGACATCCTTTACGATCGGTTACGATGCCTAGAGTACGGAGACCTGTACGATTTCGTCAACTTAGTGAGTTTGATAGGGTCCGTATAGTGGGACTTCGGGAAGCTGGACTTTCTTTTCGGGCAATTGCAGTTAGAGTGCAAAGAAGTGTAGACACTGTGGTTAGGTGTTGTCAGGCATGGCTTCGAGAAGGCCGTACGCAAACAGCAAGGGACACTGGACGCCGCCGTAGAACAACAGACCGTGAAGATCGCCGCCTAAGATTATTGGCCTTAAGGGACTGTTTCTCCACTACCAGGTCCATTGCAAATGAATACTTTGCAGAACACGGAAGACCTATTGGCATGCGAAGTGTTTACCGACGAATGAGAAGTTTTGGCTTGTTTTCATACCGGCCACACTGGGTCCTCCCTTTAACTCGAGCACACCGACGTAATCGCCTTAAGTGGTGCAGACAACGGTCACTCTGGGATCAGGAATGGAACAGTATTGTCTTTAGTGACGAGTCTCGATTTTGTTTAGGCATGCACGATGGTCGTGCCAAGGTTAGAAGGCGACGTGGTGAAAGGGTGAATCCACAGTTTTTTGTTGAAGGACGCGCAAGCGTTATATCCACGAAGTTCTAGAACCCCATCTTTTACCCTATCTTGACACCCTGGCAGATCCAACTTTCCAACAAGATAATGCCCGACCACATGTTGCAAGAGTCACAATAGACTTCTTTCAACATAATGATGTCACATTGTTACCATGGCCACCAAGATCTCCCGACTTATCCCCAGTTGAGCACGTGTGGGATATGATGGGTAGGAGATTGCTCAATTTGCAACGTCCTCCTCAGACTCTAGAAGCACTTCGAGAGGAGTTGGTGGTTGCCTGGAATGAGATACCACAGGAGGACATTGACCACCTGATGAGAAGCATGCCTAGGCGCGTTGGAGAATGCGTAGCACATCAGGGTGCATCCACACATTATTAAAGGTCAAAGGGCTTTAAAGCAGTGTAATCATGTTGAAATTTTTATCATTTACTTATTATGCTTCATTAAGTACTTATACAAAATTTTATTAAAATAAAACTATTTAAACTGGGTGTTCGGATTTATATGTCACTTAGTATATATCCTAATTCGAAATTTTTGCATAATCTTACTCAAACAGTACCTTTTTTGATGAATCTGCATGTTGTCAAACCCAAATTTTCGTCATTTTTTTCACCGATTTTTTTAAACAAGGATTTGTTTTTTTCGCTCTGGTCAAAGTGTTTCTTGCTTTGTTTTGGGACATTCTGAACAAAAAGGGTGCACTAGAACCACTCACTAAAGTTATAGTTTTCGAGATATAAGTGATTCAATATTTGAAAAAGTGTGAAATGTCATTTTCGACCCAGAAAAATAATATGAAAAAACGAAAATTTAATTTTTTTAATCGCAGCAGCCGCGCAATGTCAGGCCACCGCGGCTACTATGAGAAGCGTAAAGAAAGTTTGTTTATCCAATTTTTGAACAGCCTAACTTTTTTAGAATTGGAAAAAGCAATGTTGCCAATGTTCCTAAATTTCTTCAAATACCCATTAACAAAACCACTTCATGAGGTATTGTTACTGCAAACCTTTGTTTTTAATTGTTAACCGATCGCGCGCTCAGTAAATAATCTGCGTGAGTGTGAGACAGATGTAGGGGACGTCGTTACGCGCGGCGGAAAAGTATCGAGCGCGCTTGTTTGACTATTAAAAACAAAAGTCTTGCAACAACAATACCTCCTGAGATACTTAGTGAGATGTTAATGGATGTTTGAAGAATATTAAGAAACATTGGGAACGAAAAGTAACTTTAGAGAAAAGTTCCGAAGCACCTTTTTTGTTCAGAATGTCAAAAAAAAAACAATCGCAGCGTATTTTTGGATTAGTTTAAAAAAATGGTTCAACATGTTTTGACACAAATTTGATTTTAGTAACATACAGATTCATTGAATAAGATTATGCAAAAAATTCGATTCAGCTTATTTTCCTATCAGATGTGAAGATAATGCCCAGACTAGAACGATGCTCCACAACCATTTAAAAATATGGTGAATGTACATACAATAACACTGTTGTGTGTAACGACGCACCTCCACCATATTTTGAAGCGCCATGTGATCAGAAGTAAAAATACTAAATGTCAAAAAAGCTTTATTGTCGATGTCATCTGAAACCAACCTTCCTGTACTCGTTCTTCTGAGCCTCCGTAGCAACGGCTTTGATAACTGGCGTCTCTTTAACATTGGGTTTCTTGCTAAAGTCCAGCACGTAGTTATTCTCACTATCAGAGTCGCTGGAGTCTTCTGGAGGCGTAAACGCGTCATCATGGTACCCATTGCTGTGGTAGCCCTCGTCAGAGCGCACGCTACCCTCTGCAGTAGGGGTAAGTTGGTGCTCGTAGGGAGGCGCGTCCTTAGGCGCCGGCTCTGTTGTACTTACAGTGATGGCTTCCGAGGTTTGTTGTACTTGTTGGCCTGTAATAGAAAAAAGTAGTTTTAGGCACCATATGAAGTTTAAATGGCAACATTGGCTAGGTAACCCATTTCGTCTAAGGACATACACTGCTGACGGGCAGCACCGAGCTTGTATTGCTATTTGAATTGATTTATTCCCTATAACGTCTAGTTGTATGAGGCGTTCTGAAAAATTGCACTATCCTTTACAAGTAGTGCAGTTCTTGTAGAAATGAACAGAATTTCCTAGTGAGACAATATGCTAAAATCGATGATCTTAGGTTCCAGTGCAGGATTAGGTAGCATCCAACCATAGATCTGCGCGTTATGTAGGTGAACCGAATTGTTTATTTGTAAATCATATTTGAAAAAATCGTAAACGTTGTAACGAACTTATTATTGTGATGTTAGTTTACGGCGATTATCTTCAAGATACTGTTAATGTTTCGTAATTGTTTTCTTGGACGTTTCCTTTCTGAGCTGCATGGGTTTATTTATCGTTTTCATAGGCCACTTATAATAACGATGAAGAGTACAAAACGTAGTCAGCTCCGAATGCTACGAATTGGAAAAAAGTTAATACATCCATTTTCTTGGAATCCGAAATGGCAACGATATTATTTATAAACAAACATGGTGGTATTTAAAATTTCCTAACAGCCAGACACTGAGTCCTTTTTTTCCCATTCCTTTTTTTTACTTTCCGCTGCCGATTCACCGCATTTTCTTTTTGTTACTTTCTGAAAAATCCACACCTATTAGAACACCTATATAACATTAGTGGTAACATCTCAATATAGTGTAGAAATATACTTACGTATCCTTTGAAGCATCTGCTCTCCAGTCAACGGATAGTTCAGTCGTTCAGCAAACTCCTTACAATACCAGACCAAAAGCTCCTGATTGGGCAGAATTGGTTTGATAGTGTAGAAATAAATGTTCATCTTGTACTGACAGGCGATTAAGTTTTGAGATTCACTAGAATAAGCTGGATTCACGTATCGCATCCAGTTGGCTTTGGAGGTATCGAAACCGTCTATATAGTAGTAGAGTTCATTGTCTTTGTATATCTGGAAAATAAAAAACACGCATATGCAGTCACAAAAATGTATCAGAAAGCGGGGAGAATTGGCATTGATTAACAAATTCCAGCAGAAGGTGCCCAACTAAATATAACTAAACATGTGTCGACCACCGTCTTTAGGCGCCAACGCTGCCAGCTGTCGGGCTTTTGCCGCAGGATGGGATTTCCTTTTCCATCGTTCTAAAATTCTAAGGCTACGAAACCGTAGCATCCATTGAAGGGTGAGGTTTGTTTGGGAACCTCATCAAAAAGAAAATGGAGTCTGCAATGATTGATTCTAAGTGCTGCGATTCTACTTGGCAACGTAGCTGTGACGTTGAAAATTACAGCATAGGGTTGAGCAACTTTTTAGGGGATACGTTAATCAATGGTACTGATAAAAAACTACGTTCCTTCCATGACAGAACAACAGAACTTTTGTAAATAAGCATTTTCATGTCAATACTAAATCTCACATATTTCATAATGCTACTTGTTATTGTTCGCATTATTCTGTCATGTAACCAAATACTCATTTTTGATGCATCTCCAAATGAAAATGGGGTAGCTAATGATAGTGAAGTCTAGCTAGAAATGGGAATGGAAAAGATAGTTTACACGACCACAAGAGATGAAAACACTGGTGCGATGTTCTGACTAAAGCTGTAATATGATTGAGAGATACTCTTAAATTTTTGTACAAAAATGTAAATATTTGTTGAGCGAAATGATCCATACAAAAATATATGAGCATCTCAATCCATATTGCAAACTATTATGGTTTCTAACATCGATACAAACAAAACAATATTCACCTTGTCGATACAGCTATTTGTATAAAATCCCTCTCTAAGTTGGACCTATATCAGTGAAGCCCAAAGTGAGAAACAGATCAACAAACTTTGCAATAATGAAGGATTTCAAAAAAATTGTACTCACCCTCCAGAAATACTTCCTGTTCGCAGAACTCGGTACAGCATCTTTGGCATATATTTCTCCTACCAGGGGCCCAAATCTGGTGCCTCTTGGTATGTAACCTGTACTCCACACGCCCTGGGCCTGAAATATCAACAAACGTCTATAGAATGCATACAAAAAGTTTACCGGTTTGTGCAAAAGTCATACATTATATACTAAGTGACATATAAATCCGAACACCCAGTTTAAATGGTTTTATTTTAATAAAAGTTGGTGAATGTATTTATCTTACTGTAAATAACAAGTGAAAAATTTTTCAGCCTTATCAGTTGGACATTCCGGTTTTTATACTGCTTTTTTTTAATTCACTAACGCTCTAAAAATGAATATTTTAGTAAAGAATCAACGTTGGCGGATTTTGGTTCTTGACATCCTTTACGATCGGTTACGATGCCTAGAGTTTAGTGGGACTTCGGGAAGCTGGACTTTCTTTTCGGGCAATTGCAGTTAGAGTGCAAACCGGTGTAGACACTGTGGTTAGGTGTTGTCAGGCATGGCTTCGAGAAGGCCGTACGCAAAGAGCAAGGGGCACTGGACGCCGCCGTAGAACAACAGACCGTGAAGATCGCCGCCTAAGATTATTGGCCTATTCTCCACTACCAGCTCCATTGCAAATGAATGCTTTGCAGAACACGGAAGACCTATTGGCAAGTGTTTACCGACGAATGAGAAGTTTTGGCTTGTTCTCATACCGGCCACACTGGGTCCTCCCTTTTACTCGAGAACACCGAAGTAATCGCCTTGAGTGGTGCAGACAACGGTCACTCTGGGATCAGGAATGGAACAGTATTGTCTTTAGTGACGAGTCTCGATTTTGTTTAGGCATGCACGATGGTCGTGCCAGGGTTAGAAGGCGACGTGGTGAAAGGAGGAATCCACAGTTTTTTGTTGAAAGACATGTTCATCACACTGTTGGAGTTATGGTTTGGGGTGCTATAGCTTATGGTTCCAGGTCACCTTTAATCTACATCAGAGGTAACATGAACGCGAAGCGTTATATCCACGAAGTTCTATAACGCCAGCTTTTACCCTATCTTGACACCCTGGCAGATCCAACTTTCCAACAGAATAATGCCCGACCACATGTTGCAAGAGTCACAATAGACTTCTTTCAACATAATGATGTCACATTGTTACCATGGCCATCAAGATCTCCCGACTTATCCCCAATTGAGCTCGTGTGGGATATGATGGGTAGGAGATTGCTCAATTTGCAACGTCCTCCTCAGACTCTAGAAGCACTTCGAGAGGAGTTGGTGGTTGCCTGGAATGAGATACCACAGGAGGACATTGACCACCTGATCAGAAGCATGCCTAGGCGCGTTGGAGAATGCGTAGCACATCAGGGTGCATCCACACATTATTAAAGGTCAAAGGGCTTTAAAGCAGTGCAATCATTTTGAAATTTTTATCATTTACTTATTATGCTTCATTAAGTACTTATACAAAATTTTATTAAAATAAAACCATTTAAACTGGGTGTTCGGATTTATATATCACTTAGTATATTTTGCAAACACATTACAATAAAAACTTAAAATATATGAAGTGATTTGTGATGAATGGTAATAACTTTTCAACAAATACACTATTCGTGGACCTCTATTACGAAAAGGTGTTCGTTGTCCAACTTTCAACTTCATGGTTATTGGACAAAATGCCAATGTTCCGTGGTTCCAAAATAAATTCCAGATATAAGAAAACATCAACGTCAAAACTGTGCTCATGCATGCAATCTGCTTCACCTCCGTTTCGGATAATGATTAGGTGCAAACAAATTTAAGCAATATTTTGCCCGAATTTTGCAATTATTATTTTTCTGAAAACGATCTTTTTGGAAGTTACTCTTCTATAGGATGGGTTATCGGTGGTAAAGAATTACTCGAATAGAGATGGATCCATCGGTTACATACATGAAAAAATCTAACATGACCTGGGCTGCGTGTTATTCTTACTTAATTTTTGTAATCACAAAACTTTCTTTATTCTGATGTGGTGGGGGATTTGGGCAAGGAGGAGGATTTGGAGGAGAAGGGAAAGGCGGATTTGGAGGAGGTGATGACTTTGATAGAGATTAATAGGCTTAATTTAATGATCTTTTATCTACTTGACGCGATTTTTTGGAACTTACATCTGATAATGCCTGAGAAGACTTGAGGACAAGATTCCTGGGAAGAGTGGCTTCCGCCCTATTTGGAGTTCCGGGTTCCACGGGAAGATCTGGAACGATGTAGGTGGTGTGCAGTTCGAATTCTTCCTCGCGAATGTTCGCCAAGTCGAACTCGCTGGCGGAAGATACTTCGGACTCCTCCATTATGTCCTGCAAAGATAGAATTCGCGTTCAGTAAAATTCAACTTCTAAATGAGTGCTTAGGATCAATCTGTCAAGATATCAGCTTTTCAGTACTCTTTTTATACTGAGGGCCGAAACTTAAATACCGGGGCACTGCGTCTGCTTTAAGGAACTTATTGGCGCCTTGTTGTTCCGATTTTTGAACCTAACAGAACTGAGCAAAACTTCGTCGAGCGGATTTTTCCTTAACCTCGATACCCTAAGAACAAAGGAACGGTCGTACTGGCCAGTTCTCGATATAGTAGATTCGACAGAGTTGGGATGGGAGGAAAAACTCTGGCGGGTCTGTCTGGCAGGCTCAACGCGCGGTGGAAGAGGAGAGCTCTGAGGCGCAAGTTGTCTTAGATTTAGAAGAGAACAAGGACTCTCCATTATAGAAGTGTCATTGATCAAAATGTTGATGTTGGAATTGAAAATAATAAACTAATAAAAATTTAATAACGGAACATACAGTTAGTCAAGGCTACTATGCACGCATATTTGAAAGATTTAAAGATACGGAGTATTGATTGTGTTGCAAATTACGTAAAAGGATTACTTTTACTTTCAGCTAAGTTTATTCGAGGATAAGTGTCCTTTCATGTTTGTTTGCAACCTTCCAAGTTATTTATAAATGTATCGATCTGGTACGGTTTTCAATTTTCAGTAAACTATCCGATAATTCTTTATTCAGCATTGGATAAAGGTAGTTCTAAGGGTAGGTGCCATTTAAGGATAAGGCGTTAGTGAAAAGCTGCTAGTGATAATATACGGAGACATCTTTACTTTCTATTATTACAGAAATATCAATACCTTTAGAATTGGGGGATATATCTGAATTAATTCTACATGTATTTATCCGTCTTCAAAAATAAACAATAACTCCTTACAGGTCGCAAGTATTTAGTACATAGATAACAAAAAAAATGGGCATTTCGGAAGCAGACATCGTTCAAAGTGGATACGTATCACAAATAAAGAGCATAATTTTATACAAAGACCTGTAAACCAACCATCAATGCTAAGTTTGACAGCACCGATAGCATGTGTTGCATCAGTTGCTTTTAGCCGATCGTTGTTTTGTGTACATTAACTGAACTTTTATTGCTTCTTCCAGCCGCTATCCTTGATTTGGTTTGTTTTGCCACGCATCTGCAGCATATCAATAACAATAAAAGTAGTATACCTATAGAAGCCTCTTTGGAATTTGTCGATTATCAAAAATATCGATTCAATTCATCTGGTTTGTATAACTAAGGTTCGTTAAACATAAGTTAGATATTTTAAATATAAAACTGAAATTGTAGGCATTTTGCAAAATCATTTTTTTTTTTATAAAAAATTAAACTGTGTTGACGGGCAGCCAAATGAACAGCCCAACTAGCAAAGTAGTGCTATAAGCTTTTGGTAAAAGAACCGTTTAGCCATAGAAGCTCTCTATTGTTGTTGCCTGAACACCAAAATGCTGGCTTAATGTTGTGTGGAATGCAAATTTGCTTTCTGCAACATATTTGCTCTAAAATGAGGTGCTTAAAATATTCTTATAGCATAGTTGCACAACACCTTATAGGACAAATTTTTAACTGATGCATAAACGTTTATACAACTATTTTATACGGCATATTTGCAGGTTAGTCAAAATGGTTGTGTTGTGGCATCCACGGTAACGTTTATAAAACAAACCCGAGCCTTGTTGTTTTGCTGTGCAAATTTACTACTTTAGCCAACAAATTGCTCCCAACGGAAGCACTTATACAACTGTTGTTTAGTAACTAGTAATATGTTGGTATACAACTTCACCATAACCTAACTTTCTGCTGTCATATTTTTGTTAAAATGCCATAGCCAATGTTTTAAGAGAAACAACGCATGCATATTGGTTCAAAATGTTTTATCAACTGTTCAAACAGAAGATATAGATCTGGTACAAATTCTGGGTGAATCATTCGACTCTGTCGGTATTTCATTTCAGACATTTGTCAAATTGTTGTATAACACCTGCAGGCAACACCAAAATATTCTAATAACCTAAAGACAACATGGACGATGCCATGATTATACACAACCCGCCATATTGCGCAAACATTTATTCCTCTATTTGATATTAAATAATTATGTTTCAGTTCGAAATTACAGATATAAAGTGATAAACATTCGTGTAATTGTGTCTAAATATAGGATTTGTGGAAGATTTAACGCAGATAAGTTCAGTTTTCCATCTTAAAAATCTAGACATACTTTTGATCATTATCAAAATATGAATCAAATACGAAGCCCGTAGAATTTGCGTAACTACTTTGCACGATAATCACAATAAAATTTGCTGCGCAAGTAATTCAATAGCCCTATATCATAGTGTAGAAGTTTATCATATACATGTGTATGAAATTCACAATGGCCGATATGTAAGTAAACAAGATGGCTGAAATGTGTTAGTTATATCTATTATCTATATATCTATCTATCTATCTATCGCCTATACAATACATAAGAAATAGTTTGGTTGCAATAAAGTATAATCACGTAACAGAATAGTTGTGTAGTTGACAAAAACTGAATCTTGCACTGACGCAAATGTCCTAGGTATAGCGGCTGCAAGAGGCTTACACTTTTGTTGTATAACTGTTACCTGCAGCCCTTATACAACCTCTTAAATGACTGAAGTGTCCTATTAGGTGCGCCCATTCCGGTTGTATAGCTGTTCTAAGAGGGTTTTGCCAATGTTCTTACAGTAGACAATGCTGTGTAAGGAATACTGGATAATCATTCTTGCAACTCTAATAGGAGTGATAATTGTTAGTGGGGAGGTGGTTCTTTCTACAACTGATTGAAGATTTATCAAAGAAAGATGGACGAATCTGTGTATGTATCCACTTGGTTACGATGTCCGACTCATGGTGTGTATGCAATGGGGAATATTCAATTATCCTCTTTTCGAAGTTTCCGTTACTCTAAATATTTAGCTAATAAACGTCAAAATAAGTTGTGTGATGTAAACTCCTTAGCCTTATGATGAAACTTTGCAGATGGGTGGCTGACTTCCTCTCTGGCCGCATGATGTCCGTCTAAATTTACGGGTTTTCCTATTCATATCAACAACCTCCTTTCCTGTATGAATAATCCGATCCACAGCTTTGCTAATGACAGCACTCCACGTGCGGAAATTCATAGTGACAAGCCGATCACTGCCAGTGACCTGGAGAAGAGAAATCTCGCAGCGACTTCCTCTCTGACGAGAAACCTGGAAATTATTACTGCTTGGGGACTCCAAATCACCGAGGACTTGCTCTGGCATGAACACATTTCGTTTATTTGTTTAGGACTGACTGCTTTTCTCCATATAACTTTCTGCCTCTGTACAAGGCCCAGATAAGACCTAGTCTTGTTTGGAGTGCTACCTCCCCGACTACATTATCCATGTTCGATGCTGTTCAGAGAAGGGCTATCTTATCAATACTCTTTTTCACCGGACAGTTTCGGGATCCTTTCGCACCGATATGCCGTCAGCAACCTGACTCTCTTCTACCGCTATGTTACCGGACTTTGCGCATCCGGCTCTTTTCCATATGCCTGCCATACAGACCCGCCAGTTCAAAAATTGCATCAAGTTTCTTTCAGTTTCTCATAGAAGCTGCAGTGCCTTGGTATTTAGGCATCCGCGTATCTGAAGTCACTTGAAACACTGTGAAATACCGGGTGCGTTTTATATATCTATATTTAACACGCTCTGTTGCTGCAAAAATCGCCAAATTTCGCAGCAAATATCCCCCGTATAAGATCAAAGGCAGTTTCACCGGTCCACGTGGAGTAAAGCACGCCTATGCGTGGACATAGCCAATGAGAAAGCGTGTATTTCAGAGCTCCGAACAAGTGCAGGTGGCTACTGAAAATTGAAACAGTTTAGCCAGTGCCGTGTAGCGGTGAATAAACGTGTTTTCTTTAGTCTGTCCGTGTTTTTTCATAGATTTTATTAGTTTGTGTGTTTTTGACTTTTGAATACTCAGTTTACTTGTTGATTTAATTGTTGTGTTGATTGTTCTTGTGTGTCCTAAATATGGCTCTTTGGAGACCTTGGGAAAATGCTCCAAGCCACGAGGAGATGGTTGATGAACCTGTGCAGGCAGAATTCTTTCATAAAGATTTAGAGGAACAGACCCAAAGAGTAATCCTAAATATGTATGATTGTCTGAAAAACGAAAATCCAGATTCCTCGCAAAATCAAATTTTAAACAGAATGTGTATCCTGACAAAAATCAGTCGGTCTACCATTTATCGGGTTATAAAAAGGGGAGATGTAGTCAACCATTCCTTCCACAGAAAGCGCATAGGGCAAAAATTAAAAAGAATAGACGTGGGTTTTCAGGAAGATATTCGTCGTATAATATACGGATTTTATAAAGAAAATTTGGTGCCCACGTTAGAAATGATACGGGATAAATTAAAAGATTATCCTGAAGATTTTTATAATTACAAATGCTTAGACTCATTGCACTGTATTGTAAAACTGTGTGGTTTTCAATACAAAAAATTAGATAAAAGAATGGTGATTATGGAGTCATCTCGAATCGTTGAATTGCGCCAAGAATTTTTGCACAAAGTTAAAATCTATAGAGAGCAGAAAAGAAATCTGATTTACCTGGATGAAACGTGGTATGATACCCATGATGTTGTGCAGTACGGCTGGGTTGACGACAGCAACAAGTGCATTTTAAATGCACCATGAAACCGTGGAAAACGAATCATTATTCTCCATGCTGGCAGTGAAAATGGATTTATACCTAATGCCTTGCTGTTATCTGCCAAAAATATCAAAGAATCATGTGCCGACTATCATGAGGACATGACCTCCGACTTATTTGAAAAGTGGTTAGAGCAGCAGTTAATACCAAACATTTCCCCAAATTCAGTGATTATTATGGACAATGCGCCATACCATTCCCGACAGAAAAACAAAATTCCGAATACAGCCACAAAAAAAAAACAAGACA